GAATAATAGTGAAGACATCAAAACAATGAAATAACACATTGGGAGTGACCATGATGTTTAAGGCTACACCAAATAGAGATGTGCAAGTTGTAGGGCTGACCCCAATTAGTTGACTGGTGGATAGTTTGGTCGTTAGGCTGTTGGTCGACCGAGATTGTTTTAGTCGTGCAGAAACAAGTATATATATTTGCACCCATCTCAGTGAACTAATCCTTTGTGGAGGCCTAGACTAAAAGCCATTTAATGCTTAATCCGAAAATGTGGTCGGAGGCTGGAGGGTGTGACGCAATTGCAGAGCCTCCAGAGGCACCCAGAGGCCAAATCGAGCTCTGTACTGCATCGTCATGTGCCTCCCAAATGTTTTAACTATGTGGAGGGCTCTATATAGCTCCGCATTGACATGATTAGTTGACGTAGGTGGGGACGGTACATCCTGTAGAAAACACAAACTCGTGGCCTCTCGAGTGACGCAGTGGTCTAAGGCACTGCTTCGAAGTGCTTGAGGCGTCACCACAGACCTGGGTTCGATCCCAGGCTGTGTCACAGCCGGCCGTGACCGGGAGACATATGAGGTGGCGCACAGTTGTCCGGGTTAGGGGAGGGTTTGGCCGGCCGGGATTTCCGTGTCCCATTGTGCTCTAGCGACTCCTTGTGGCGGGCTGGGCGCCTGCAAGCTGACTTCAGTTGCCAGCTGGACGATGTTTCCTGTGACACATTGGTGCGGCTGGCTTCCGGGTTAAGCGAGCATTGCAGCTTGGCAGGGTTGTGTTTCGAAGGAAGCATGCCTCTCCCGAGTCCGTAGGGGATTGCAGCGATGGGACAAGACTGTAACTACCAATTGGCTATCACGAGAAAGGGCTAAAAGTAATAATAACAAATGTATTTTTTTATAACCTTTCTCCTCCCCTTCATCTGCACCGATTGAAGTTGATTTAACAAGTGACATCAATAAGGGATCATAGCTTTTACCTGTATTCACCTGGCCAGTCTATGTCATGGAAAGAGCAGGTGGTCTTAATGTTTTGTATAGTCAGTGTATATCGACTGAATTTTTTCTCCAAAAAGCTACTGGCTACTATCTGTATCAAAGACAGGTTTGAAAACTCGATGGTCAAAGATAACTTCCTATTGAGGCTTTTTGGCTTCTTCTGTGGGGGTTTAAGAGCAGCCGCGTCCAACTGTAGGTAGTGATCAAATATTTTCTTCAAGTGGGTGAGGCGGTTTAGGGAGCTGCATTTATTGCTAGAAAGGAACCGTTTGTATTGCCTCAAATATATAGTATATTAAATCAATGGCAACAATGTAGGCTATTTTTAGGTATAATCAATACATAATGTATCTACTTAAACTGTCAATCATTAGGTGTATCACTTTTTTTGTTTCATCCTCAAAGATTGTAAATGCATTATGTCCACATGTGTGGTTTTATTGTGTTTTTAAATTGGCAAATAAATCGAATCAAATTAAAATCACAACAAATGTAAGGTATTTATAGAAACAACAAAAACAGCTTGCAGCCTCTGGCTGGCTGTGGTTAGCTGGAAGGTGGCAGGCCGAATTTGAGATTAGAAAAATTCCTTGCTATTGTCTTTCAAATTAGCTCATGGATAGATGGCTTGCCTTGGGTTTATAGCTGTCCTCTGAGTGGAGGCGAAACGGCAGAGATGCAAAAATGGCCTGCCAAGGGCTTATAGCGGTCGTATGAGTCGGGGCTACCCGCCAGAGATGGAAATCACGTCTTGAAAGGCAAACTCCATTTGCTCGCTGGCGGTAGGAATTTATAGCCTTGGGTGTAAGGAAGGCAGCAAATAGCAAGCGGGAGGCCATTTTTTTGCTATCTGGGGAGTGAGAGCATGCCGTGCTGAGAAAGAGAAGCAGGGGAATAAAAGAGAAAGAGAGGAAGGGATGGTTTTGGGAAGAGATTACATCATTGCCATGTGTTATCATTTCCAAATGAGGCTTGTTACATAGACACACCAAAGCTTTTGTCCCAGTGCCCGAAGCACAGCGTGGAAGAATGTTGCAGAAATCTCAATCAAGAGCCATGCCAGATGGATAGGCTAGTTAGAACCCTCTGTGCTTGTCTCTATGCAGCTGCACACTGGCTTATCTGCTCAAACACAGGACAGATGTCAGATGTGGAGAGAAACAGGGCTTCTCACTGGCACTAGAAAGCAGTAAGCTCAAGCTTGAGAATATGAGTAATACATATGCCTGGCCTGGTTAGTTTGGTATGCTAAGAAATGTATTGCGTGCACACTGTGTCTTTCTCATGTGTCTTCAATCGAAGTGTTTGAAAAGTGATGCAATGATGATCAATCAGTCAATCAAATTTTATTTATAAAGCAGATTTACATCAGCAGATGTCACAAAGTGCTATACAGAAACCCAGCCTAAAACCCCAAACAGCAAGCAATGCAGGTGTAGAAGCACAGTGGCTAGGAAAAACTCCCTAGAAAAGGCAGAAACCTAGGAAGAAACCTAGAGAGGAACCAGGCTCAGAGGGGTGGCCAGTCCCCTTCTGGCTGTGCCGGGTGGAGAACATCTTCAATATGTTTATACGTTCATAGATGACCAGCAGGGTCAAATAATAATCACAGTGGGTGTAGAGGTTGCAACAGGTCAGTACATCAGGAGTAAATGTCACTTGGCTTTTTATAGCCGGCATTTAGAGGTTGAATAGCAGGTGCGGTAGATAGAGAGAAAGTTGAAAACAGCAGGTCTGGGACAAGGTAGCACGTCCGGTGAACAGGTCAGGGTTCCATAGCCGCAGGCAGAAGAGTGGAAACTGGAGCAGCAGCACGACCTGGTGGACTGGGGACAGCAAGGAGTCATCAGGCCAGGTAGTCCTGAGGCATGGTCCTAGGGCTCAGGTCCTCCGGGATGGGAGGGAGAGAGGAAGAGAGAGAGAATTTGAGGGAGCATACTTAAATTCACACAGGACACCGGATAAGACAGGAGAATAACACCAGATATAACAGACTGACCCTAGCCCCCCAGCACATAGACTATTGCAGCATAGATACTGGAGGCTGAGACAGGGGGGGGGTCGGGAGACACTGTGGCCCCGTCCGACGATACCCCCGGACAGGGCCAACCAGGCAGGATATAACCCCACCCACTTTGCCAAAGCACAGCCCCCTACACTACCAGAGGGATATCAACAGACCACCAACCTACTACCCTGAGACAAGGCTGAGTATAGCCCACGAAGATCTCCTCCACTGCACGAGCCCGAGAGGCGACAAACCCCCTGAATCCAGAATGTAAAGCCTCAGTGGCAGACAGACCACAGCCTATAGTCTGATGGGGGATCACTGTCAGGCCAGTGACAGTCAGACAGCTGATCCTCTCCACTCCCCTTTCCTCTTCTCTCCCACACAGTGTGGTCTGTTTGTTGATCTTGCCTGGCAGACTAAAACTAAACAGGGGTGAAACCTAAATTGCTGTTTTTCCAGGAGGGAGTTAATGGTTTGAATTTGATCTGGTGTTCTAGTGTACCGCTGTTTGGTTGCAGGTTAGCATTTCTCGTCATGAATCTTGTTCTGGAGGCAGCTCTGCAGTGGTCACTAGCTGGCACAGCCACAAAGTCATAAAATGTTAAACCTAACCTAACCCTAATCTTAACCACAATCCTAACCCTAATGCCTAACCCTAACCTTAAATTAAGACCAAAAAACACATTTTTGTTTTCATACATTTTTACAATATAGCTAATTTTGACTTTGCAGCTGGACTATCTAAGGGGAAATTGCTCAGTTCTGCCTCCAGGAAAAGACTCATGACAATAAACATCAACCTGCTGTTTGGTCTATCTGTTCCACATAAAGAAATGGAATGGGGTGGTTACAACCAGCATGTGTTTTGTTCGGAATAGTTCCTAGTGTGTTCCTACTGTTCACTGTCAGTGTTCCATCTCAGTGCTCTGTCCCAGTCTTCTAAAGTACAGTGGTACAGGTTTTTGTAACAAACTAGCACTAGGATATAATAAAGCATCATGTTGTACAACCAATATCAGAGCACAACAATCAACTTTTTAGTGCCTGCAAGTCAACTGTATCTCAGTACTATATCAGTTCTATCCCAGTGTCCCATCCCATGCAGTGTTCTGTGTTAAACTCTGTTAGTTTTATGTGACTGAGCGCCCAGAGTCCATCTCCTGACAGTGTGACCACAGAGAGAGTTGGTTCGCTCTGCAGGGGACCATGACTACAGCACACTGACTACACACTGGCTACACAGCTCCTTTCTCTGGCAGCACTCAGTCTTTTACCAGGCCATAGCGGCCCCCAGACAAGATCAGCTCTAAATCAACACTGGCCCTGGTGCTGCTATGGAAAAAGTGTCAGACCAGCCGCCCTAAATCTGACTGCCACTCACTCTGCAGTCAGCTCAGCACTGTCTCCCTCTGGCTGGGTCCTAAATGACACTCTATTCCCTATGGAACCTGGTCAAATGTAGTGCCATTTTTACTGCACAGAGCTGTAACTCTACTAAGCCCCTACTAGTTAAGACAGGAGAGGCAGCTCTCTGTTGGAGTCCTGACTTGTTGTGAGAGGAACCAGTACTTGAGATCCTAGTAAAATGTTAGAGTGCATTTGCCTCTCCATATATTTTCATTGCTTACGCATGACAAGACCATGAGAGTTACTCCTACTGGAGATACTGAAGCTTTCCCAGCAATGAATCACTTACCGGTACCTAACTTATACATGATTAGGGCATAAACATGTCTCCTCAAACTGTCCACTCCCTCTCTTTTTCTAATTTCTCATCTCAGCTTTGAATACTTAGTGTATTCCCTTGATTTGTATGCAATCTCTCATCTCTAAACGTATATACATACAGTATGTGCATTAATAATAATAATAATAATAATAATAATAATAATAATAATAATAAGCCATTTAGCAGACGCTTTTATCCAAAGCGACTTACAGTCATGTGTGCATAGATTAATATGTATCTCAAACTAACTTCCCCCCCTTCTCTCTCCCTGTAGAAACTGGTGTGCGTATGTGGTGACGAAGACAGTGAGCTGTGTGGTGGAGGATGGAGTGGAGACCTACGTCAAGCCTGACTACCACCCCTGCTCCTGGGGCACGCAGTGTTCCCGCATGGTGACGTGAGTATGCTCCTAACACACAAACACACAGGACTACCATGTGGTGCCGTATACTTACACTTACACATTCATTTAAACAGGTATACCCAGACACCCACTGCATGAATCAGTCTTTGCCCATCTACTGTAGACAGACAGAGGACAAAGTGGTGAGAGAATGCCAAGGCTGAGGGGAATTGTGTAAGAAGGGCCATTAGGACCTAATGCCCTTAATGTCTGTCAACACACACACACTCACACACACTGCTTATGGAACGAACAGATTGGAAAGACAGACGTGTGACAACTCGCAAAACGAACCAATATTTCTGGGAAATCAGGACCTTTTTGACAAATCTGAAGCCCATACTATACGGCATCCCTCTCTCGCTCTCTCGCTCTCTTTTTCTCTTCATCTCCCTTCTCTCCTGTCTTTCTCTATCCTTCTCTTGCATGATTCCAGGCATAGCAGTGGTAGGCTAAGAGCTGTCGTATTGTAATTGACATAAATTATGTGTGATGGACAAAGTCGTGGCTGTGCAAACTGAGTCCTGTTGATTGAAGGCCTTCTACTGCCACAGCCTCTGTCTCTCTCTCTGACACTCTCACAGCTTGGCAGCAGATTACTGTGTTTGAGCCTGAACCATACAGCACATATACAGGAAAGAAAACAATATATGCCTGTTCACGCACAAGGGGGATTAATTGTGAAACATTTATTTCCTTCTCAGTTTAAAGGGGAAAATAAAAGACAGTTTCTTTTGAACGCGGTCCAAGCAAAATGTAGAAATCTGTCCGTGTGTATGTCGAGCACATGTGTGTGGAGCGTGTGTGTGCATGTGTGTTCGTTTATCTGTTCTAATTGTTTGACAATGCTTTAGGATCTCATTTTGGAGTTTGGCTTCGACTCTCCATTGCAACATACAGTACATTAGCTACACAGTGGAGTATTCTCATCCATCAGAGAGGGGAGGGGTCTCCTATGACCTACAGTTATCTGACGAACGAAAACGAAGGGTGGTGGTCAGCTTGAGTTTGAATTAGGTTAATGTTAATATTGGGCGACTTGACTTGGGTATTGCGTTTGTTCGTACAGTAATTCAATATGTTTTGACAGTTATCACAGATGTGTGCTATCAAGTGCTGTGCAATCTGTTTCCCAAATCCTGAAGTTCTTGTTACTTTTTTCAGATTACGTGATTGGGTAAGAGGAGATTGCTACGCATACCTACCATGCCTAAGTCTTTCACAATAGACAGTGACAGGCATTTCTGATACTGTGTTACACACTAGAGCGGAAAAGGAGCTGGTGGATTAATTGCAAACATGTTAAGGTCTGAATAGTTAATGATTGAATCAACGTTGGTATCTGGTGAATACCGGGGATTAGAGTTACCTCAAAGTGCCTGTCAGGGCAGAAACCAGCGTCCGCTGTTTAAGCTTTGTGTTCATGCTTCCATGCCCGGGAACAACATGAAAACCTCGATTTAAATAGAAACGTAATTAGAAAATGCCTGTTACTCTGGCTTTGTGGCCTGTAATGACTGCATTTGGATTGACACATAAACATTCTCCAAACTGAGGCCGTTTGAAGAGTTCAGACCAACATAATTGCAGACAGGCCCGTTGAAACTCAATGGTAGGAACTTCTATTCAACTTGGAAGGGAAATTACGGATATTGTATAAACAAAATGTGTGAAGTTGTAAAATAAAACAATGTCCAAGGCTCTTCAATTAATGTTTAATGTTATGTTCTGCCAACGACTAGTGGTGTTATGGGCCAAAAGGCAGCTGGACGGGTCTCCCGAGTGGCGCAGGGGTCTAAGGTACTGTATCACAGTGCTTGAGGCGTCACTACAGACCCGGGTTCAATCCCAGGCTGTGTCGCAGCTGGCCGTGACCGAGAGACCCATGAGGCCGCACACAAATTGGCCCAGCTTCGTCCGGGTTAGGGGAGGGTTTGGCTGGCCGGGATGTCCTTGTCCCATCGCGCTCTAGCGACTCCTTGTGGCGGGCCAGGCGCCTGCACGCTGACTTCAGTCGCCAGTTGTATGGCGTTTCCTCCGACACATTGGTGAGGCTGGCTTCCGGGTTAAGAGAGCAGTATGTCAAGAAGCAATGTCACTTGGCAGGGTTATGTTTCGGAGGACACATGGCTTTCGACCTTCGCCTCTCCCGAGTCCGTTATGGAGTTGCAGCGATGGGACAAGACTGTAACTACCAATTGTGGAGAAAAAGGGGTAAAAGTTTTTAGAAAGAAAGGCAGATGGACAATAAGTTGGCAATTACCACATGCGACCAATTATGATTGCGTAGCTTCAGTGAACATTTAGCAGACACTCCTATCTAGTGTGACCCAAAATATGTGCATTCAATTTAGATAGGTGAGACAACCTCATTGTGAACCACTTCACCATTGTTGTCGTTGTTGTCTCTGATTCTCAATAGATATCGAACGTATATGAAGCCGCGGTACAAGGTGGCCTACAAGATGGTAACAGACATGGAGTGGAAATGTTGCCATGGTTACACTGGGGACGAATGTAGTGAGGGGCCGAGCGGAGGGTCTGGGACCCAGATTGCTACAGCCAAACCACGGCCGAAACCCTCCCGACCGGGACAGACCGGAACAGGTCACGGAGGACAGAGTGGAGGAGACGGTGGGTGGATGTCTGTTCAACCTGCTCCTCCTCTATATCCCCCTCTTCTTCTCCTACTTCTGTCCTCGTCTCTGTTCCCATGTCACTCCTCAAATAGTATACATGATAAATCTAATACTATATAGATGATATACTATAATATAATGTGTTTGTGTTCAGGGCGAGGAGACGGTGACAAGATGCGGCAGCTGGAGGACAAGATCCAGAGCCTGACCAAGGACCTCCACGACCTGCAATCCTCCCTGAGGGGCATGAATGAACGCTTCCAAGAGGAGACGCACAAACCGGGTTTCACCGGTGGCGGCGCAAAGACCCCAGCGGACTCAGCCCAGCCCGAGATGATGGAGACCATCCACAGCATCCAGACCAAACTGGACCAGCTGGACAATCGGACCCAGGCCCACGACAAGACCCTGGTCAGCATCAACAACCACCTGGTCAACGGGAATGCTGGCGGCGGGAATGAACTCGGGGGTGGCGGTGGCGGCTCCTCTGGAGGCACCGGTGGGTTTAGCGGCGGGGCGCTCAGCACGCTGAAAGAGGAGATCCTGAGGGAGCTGGAGAGGAGGGTGTCTCTGTCCTGCTCCTCCTGCCAGTCTGGGGTGGAGGACCTGCGAAGGAAGCAGCAGGAGAACAGGGAGAGGATCCAGGCACTGGAGAAGCAGCTGAACGCAGTGGACGGACGCTATCGCCAGAGCCTGGACGGCCTACGCCGGGAGGTCACACGCTTCCAGGGCTGCTGCAACACTGTCACCGACCTCAAGAACAGGGTCACAGATGCAGAGAGAAAGATCAGCTCTGCGTCGGAGAACTACGATGTCATCCAGAATCGCCTGGAGAAGGAGTTGGGCGGTGGTGGTGGTAGTCATGGCGGCATAGGTTTGGGAGGAGGTGGCTTTGGACCTGGTGGTGGTGGCTTTGGCCCTGGTGGTGGCAGTGGGTTACCCAAGGTTATAGAGGACAGGCTGGATAGCCATCTGAAGGACCTGGAGAGGCGGGTGAACAGCACAGTGCAGCACACGGAGGAGAGCTGCGCCTTAATAGAGAACAACATGAAGGACTATTTCCACCGCGAGCTGGGTGACCTCCGGACTGTGTTCCTGGACCGCTTCGACACCCAGGGCTACCGCATCGAAGACATAGAGCTGGACATGGGCATCGTAAAGGACCAAGTGTTGGACCACGACAAGAAGCTGACCCGCCTGGAGAACTCTACGGCACTCCTAGACAAGAGTCTGACTGACTGTGGCTGTGGAGGATTAGGAGGAGGAGCTGGAGGAGAGGGAGCAGGTAGAAGAGGAGGAAGTGGAGGAACGGGAGGGAGAGGAGATGGAGGAGGAAGGGGAGATGGAGGAGGAAATAAAGGAACTGGAGGAGGATGGGGAGGAGCAGGGGGAGCAGAGGGAACCAGAACTGGAGAAGGGGGAGATGGAGGAAGAGGAGGAATAGGGGGAACCGGAGATGGATGGGGAGGAGCTGGAGGAGACAGAGGAAATGATTACAACGGAGACTCTGTGAAGTCTATCACATGGAGGGTGGTGGCCAACGAGGACGAGATCCGCCGCTTCAACACGCGTATCAAGGACCTGTCCATCTCAGGCGACTCCCTAATGGACAAGGTGGTGGACCTCAGCCACGACATCCGCAAAATCAAAGCCCTGACCGGAGACAACGGCGAGCACTTCAACCGCATTGTCACAGAGATCGAGATGCTGGGTCGTGGCGTGGACGAATGCGACATCTGCGGAAGAGTGGAAGACGAGTTGAAGAAGCTGAAGAACCACACGCAGCACACCCTGAACCGCTGGGAGAAGGACATCAACACCATCCGGACACAGGTGGACTCGGACCAGAGCTCCTGCTCGCAGGTGTGCTCCACCCTGAAGGAGGAGGTGGGGAAACTCCAGGAGGAGGTGGAGAATTGTAGTGGCCAGTGTAAGATCCGCCTTGAGACCCCAACAACAGGAGGCGGCACCGGAGGAGGCCTGGATGACCCCCAGAAGCCCCTGGACGGCCACAGTGTGATCGGAGGAACGTCTAACAACGGCCACCTCAAGTCCCTGCAGGGCGAGCTGTCCGAGGTCATCCTGACCTTCAGCTCCATCAACGACACACTGAGGGGCCTAGAGCATACAGTGCAGAAACACGGCAGCATCATCACCGACCTGGGCAACACAAAGAACAAGATAATCTCGGAGCTGGACAAGATCCAGCAGGAGGTGACCGAGCACATCGAGGAGAGTCGCGACCGGCTTGACGGGGTGGACCGTGATGTGCGCCGTTTCGAGAGCACCCTGGTGGTGGAGATGGGTGACTGCAAGCGCTCTGGCGACGGCCTGGAGAAGAGGCTGTCCAAGATGGAGGGTGTGTGTGGACGGCTGGACGGCGTCTCGGACTCGCTCCAGAAGATCAAGGAGGGGCTGAACAAGCATGTGTCGGGCCTGTGGAACTGTGTGAATGGCCTGAACGCTACGGTCATCTCCCATGGAGGGGTCATCGAGAACATCCAGACCACTCAGCTGGATGGGATCTACGGGAAGATCAAGAACCTCAATTCGTCCGTCAGCCACATCCTCAAGGAGTTCCAGAACCTCTCGGAACAGGACCTGACCGGTGAGTGTGTTGAGTTGACACTATATTCCTTTCAAAAGTTAGGATCTAGATCAGGGGTTAGCAACTCCAGTCCTCGGGTGCCTGATTGGTGGCACACTTTCACCCCAGCCCTATAGCTAACACACCTGAATAAACTAATTGCAATCTAAACTGAAGACCATGATTATTTGATTATTGGAGTCAGGTGTATTAGCAGGACTGAGGTTGCCTTTCCCTGATCGTGATCCAATGTAGGTAACTACAGAAACTAAACACTGCATGGTTTGGACAGATAGAGCATGTTCATTTAGACATGATCTACATTGACTATGTTTGAGAATTTGTTGAGTTCATACTGATATTGAAAAATGAGACGTTAGTTTTAGTTATTATCAGTGGACTTAAACTCTTGTCTAGTTTTAGTCACAGACATTTTAGTCACATAATAGTCAGTGCATTTTTTTCTATAAATGACCTCTAACTTCTATCATGTGCACATTCAGATAGCCTTGTCCAACTAGGCCGACTATCCCCTCATATACCTTAGCTGGCAACATTGATATTGTGGCAGATAGTAACCAATGCCAGCCACAATTAACCATAGGCTATAAAGCTGTGGCTACAGGTTAAACAATGTACAGCTCTGATTTTCTCCCCATCAAAACCGTCAAGGGGGTAAATAACAGTGGTTTCTTTGAAAAGGGGAGAATGAGCTTTACAAAAATGCCAGAAGTATTACTGTACTCTTAATATTCATCAAATAGCATTTGTTATTCCCATTGGAAAAAGTCAACTGCAACTGACATTTGCGGACCGTGGTGAGAGAGCGGCAACGCATATGGGGAAAATAAAGCTTCTGATGTGATCAAAACAAAGACAGCCTACATGAAAGTAAGATAGAGAGTAGATATTGTTTCTAGTTCAGGTTAGTTACAAGTCAAGTGTCCTGGCTTCGCATCAGTTCAAAAGATTGACAAGTGACTGAAGTGACCACCTGGGAATTGTGTAGGAGAGCCGGGCAGATCATCTCAATCAGATTGGCAACTGAAAGATGTAAATTCTGCCAATGAGAGGATTGCATGAAATATTCTGCATGCATGCATACTTAGGATTGGACAAAACAGATGAAAATGAGCTTCATGTCAAATTAAATGTCCTTTAGTCTCACTTGTAGTGCTGTTGCGGTGACCGTGTTACCGCCACACTGGCAGTCATGTCATGACCGCAGTCAAATTCCATGTGAACGGTAATCTTCTCCTATGCACTCTGGACATGAGTTGGTAGTACCCAACTCGCTAACGACCATCAGGTCGCTAATGGCCTGTTACTCAGCGTTCTATTGTCCCGCTAACCACTCTGACATCAATGCAAATGCATTCGAAAATCACATCAAACACTTGTCATCAAAACCGTATCATGCTTTAAAACTCACCGTTAGGCAAACATTTTTGACCTCACTGTGATGATCAATTTGAAGAAAGAAGTTCAACAACAGGTTGAAACTGAGTGGATAACATGGTTGTTGTGGATGTTATTTCAAAGCCAAACACAACAAAATGGACAGCGCTTTCTAAGGTGATGATTAATTCAAAGCATTTAAGATGTTGTATGTAGAACACCCATACGCCACAGGAGGTTGGTGGCACCTTAATTGGGGAAAATGGGCTCGTGGTAATGACTGGAGCGGAATTAGTGGAATGGTATCAAAAACATTAAACACATGTTTCCAGTTGTTTGATGCCATTCAATTTGCTCCATTCCAGCCATTATTACAGTGGCTTGCGAAAGTATTCACCCCCCTTGGCATTTTTCCTATTTTGTTGCCTTACAACCTGGAATTAAAATTGATTTTGGGGGGGCTTGTATCATTTGATTTACATAACATACCTACCACTTAGAAGATGCAAAAAAATAAGACCCAAAAAAAGAACTTGAGCGTGCATAACTATTCACCCCCACCCCCCCCCCCCCCCCCCCCCCCCCCCCCCCCCCCCCCCCCCCCCCCACCCCAAAGTCAATACTTTGTAGAGCCACCTTTTGCAGCAATTACAGCTGCAAGTCTCTTGGGGTATGTCTCTATAAACTTGGCTCATCTAGCCACTGGGATTTTTGCCCATTCTTCAAGGCAAAACTGCTCCAGCTCCTTCATGTTGGATGGGTTCCTTTAAGTCATACCACAGATTCTCAATTGGATTGAGGTCTGGGCATTGACTAGGCCATTCCAAGACATTTAAATGTTTCCCCTTAAACCACTCAAGTGTTGCTTTAGCAGTATGCATAGGGTCATTGTCCTGCTGGAAGGTGAACCTCCGTCCCAGTCTCAAATCTCTAGAAGACTGAAACAGGTTTCCCTCAAGAATTTCCCTTTCCTTCAATTCTGACCAGTTTCCCAGTCCCTGCCAATGAAAAACATCCCCACAGCATGATGCTGCCACCACCATGCTTCACTGTGGGGATGGTGTTCTCAGGGTGATGAGAGGTGCTGGGTTTGCGCCAGACATAGCGTTTTCCTTGATGGCCAAAAAGCTCAATTTTAGTCTCATCTGACCAGAGTACCTTCTTCCATATGTTTGGGGAATCTCCCACATGCCTTTTGGCGAACACCAAACGTGTTTGCTTATTTTTTTCTTTAAGAAATTGCTTTTTTCTGGCCACTCTTCCGTAAAGCCCAGCTCTGTGGAGTGTACGGCTTAAAGTGGTCCGATCGACAGATACTCCAATCTCTGCTGTGGAGCTTTGCAGCTCCTTCAGGGTTATCTTTGGTCTCTTTGTTGCCTCTCTGATTAATGCCCTCCTTGCCTGGGCCGTGAGTTTTGGTGAGCGGCCCTCTTGGCAGGTTTGTTGTGGTGCCATAGAAGGATTACTGTTAGACTATTCCAGGTATTCCTTAAAGAGGTAGGGTTTCAAGTGTCTCCAGAAGGTGGTCAGTGACTCCGCTATCCTGACGTCGTGGGTGAGCTTGTTACACCATTGGGGTGCCAGAGCAGCGAATAGCTTTGACTGGGCTGAGCGGGAACTGTGCTTATGTAGAGGTAGGGGGGCTAGCAGGCCAGAGGTGGATGAACGTAGTGCCCTCGTTTGGGTGTAGGGTCTGATCAGAGCCTGAAGGTAAGGAGGTGCCGTTCCCCTCACAGCTCCGTAGGCAAGCACCATGGTTTTGTAGTAGATGCGAGCTTCAACTGGAAGCCAGTGGAGTGTGTGGAGGAGCGGGGTGACATGAGAGAACTTGGGAAGGTTGAACACCAGATGGGCTGCAGTGTTCTGGATAAGTTGTAGGGGTTTAATGGCACAGGCAGAGAGCCCAGCCAACAGCGAGTTGCAGTAATCCAGACGGGAGATGACAAGTGCCTGGATTAGGACCTGTGCCGCTTTCTGTGTAAGGTAGGGTCGTACTCTGCGTATGTTGTAGAGCATGAACCTGCAGGATCGGGTCACCGCTTTGATGTTAGCGGAGAACGACAGGGTGTTGTCCAGGGTCACGCCAAGGTTCTTTGCACTCTGGGAGGAGGACACAATGGAGTTGTCAACTGTGATGGCGAGATCATGGAGCGGGCAGTCCTTCCCCGGGAGGAAGAGCAGCTCTGTCTTGCCGAGGTTCAGCTTGAGGTGGTGAGCCGACATCCACACTGATATGTCTGCCAGACATGCAGAGATGCGATTCGCCACCTGGTTATCAGAAGGGGGAAAGGAGAAAATTAATTGTGTGTCGTCTGCGTAGCAATGATAGGAGAGACCATGTGAGGATATGACAGAGCCAAGTGACTTGGTGTATAGAGAGAATAGGAGAGGGCCTAGAACTGAGCCCTGGGGGACACCAGTGGTGAGAGAATGTGGTGCGGAGACAGATTCTCGTCATGCCACCTGGTAGGAGCAACCTGTCAGGTAGGACGCAATCCAAGAGTGAGCAGCGCCGGAGATGCCCAACTCGGAGAGGGTGGATAGGAGGATCTGATGGTTCACAGTATCAAAGGCAGCAGATAGGTCTAGAAGGATAAGAGCAGAGGAGAGAGAGTTAGCTTTAGCAGTGCGGAGAGCCTCCATGACACAGAGAAGAGCAGTCTCAGTTGAATGACCAGTCTTGAAACCTGACTGGTTTGGATCAAGAAGATCATTCTGAGAGAGATAGCAGGAGAGAGAAAAGAGTTTTGGAGAGAAAAGAAAGAAGGGATACTGGTCTGTAGTTGTTGACATCAGAAGGATCGAGTGTAGGTTTTTTGAGGAGGGGTGCAACTCTCGCTCTCTTGAAGATGGAAGGGACATAGCCAGCGGTCAAGGATGAGTTGATGAGCGAGGTGACGTAAGGGAGAAGGTCTCCGGAAATGGTCTGGAGAAGAGAGGAGGGGATAGGGTCAAGCGGGCAGGTTGTTGGGCGGCCGGCCGTCACAAGTTGCAAGATTTCATCTGGAGAGAGAGGGGAGAAAGAAGTCAAAGCATAGGGTAAGGCAGTGTGAGCAGGACCAGCGGTGTCATTTGACTTAATAAATGAGGATCGGATGTCGTTAACCTTCTTTTCAAAATGGTTGACGAAGAGAGTGGTAGAAAGTGGCTTTAGCAGCAGAAACAGAGGAAGACAATGTAGAGAGGAGGGAGTGAAAAGATGACAGGTCCACAGGGAGTCTAGTTTCCCTCCATTTCCACTCGGCTGCCCAGAGCCCTGTTCTGTGAGCTCGCAATGAGTCGTCAAGCCACGGAGCAGGAGGGGAGGACCGAGCCGGCTGGGAGGAAAGGGGACATAGAGAGTCAAAAGATGCAGAAAGGGAGGAGAGGAGGGTTGAGGAGGCAGCATCAGGAGATCGGAGGGAGAAGAATTTAACAGAGGGAAGAGATGATAGGATGGAAGAGGAGAGAGTAGCGGGAGATAGAGATTAGAAGGTTGCGATGGCACATTACCATCTGAGTAGGGGCAGAGTGAGTAGTGTTGGAGGAGAGCGAGAGAGAAAAGGATACAAAGTAGTGGTCGGAGACTTGGAGGGGAGTTGCAGTGAGATTAGTAGAAGAACAGCATCTAGTAAAGATGAGGTCAAGCGTATTGCCTGCTTTGTGAGTAGGGGGGGACGGTGAGAGGGTGAGGTCAAAAGAGGAAAGGAGTGGAAAGAAGGAGGCAGAGAGAAATGAGTCAAAGGCAGACGTAGGGAGGTTAAAGTCACCCAGAACTGTGAGGGGTGAGCCATCCTCAGGAAAGGAACTTATCAAGGCGTCAAGCTCATTGATGAACTCTCCAAGGGAACCTGGAGGGCGATAAATTATAAGGATGTTAAGCTTGAATGGGCTAGTGACTGTGACAGCATGGAATTCAAATGAGGAGATAGACAGATGGGTCAGGGGGAAAAGAGAGAATGTCCACTTGGGAGAGATGAGGATTCCTGTGCCACCGCCGCGCTGACCAGATGCTCTCGGAGTATGCAAGACCACATGATCAGACGAGGAAAGAGCAGTAGGAGTAGCAGTGTTTTCTGTGGTAATCCATGTTTCCGTCAGCGCCAAGAAGTCGAGGGACTGGAGGGTAGCACAGGCTGAGATGAACTCTGCCTTGTTGGCCGCAGAACGGCAGTTCCAGAGGCTGCCGGAGACCTGGAACTCCACGTGGGTCGTGCGCGCAGGGACCACCAGATTAGAGTGGCAGCAGCCATGCGGTGTGACGCGTTTGTATGGCCTGTGCAGAGAGGAGAGAACAGGGATAGACAGACACATAGTTGACAGGCTACAGAAAAGGCTACAATAATGCAAAAGAGATCAGAATAAAATTAACTATACATCTGAGGAAGCGAGAGAGCGGGACCTCCCTCACTTACCTTTCACTGAAACACTCAAATATAACTCTCCCAACTTCCACTTTAGAAATTATAATTGTTGTAAACTACAGCGGTTCAATGTTTCTAGGAGTAGACTCTAACTTAGTTTATTCAGCTAGCTAACTTGGTACAGTATTCTTCCGTGAAAACCGCCCAGGGCACCGTATCTTATGACACCATAGCTAACTAGCATGCTAGCATCCAATAACACACTGTTTAGCACCAATACTTGGTTACAACAAACTACCAATAGTGTGTTAACACACTAAACAGATCATTCGTGTCCGTGTCTAGTTCCTTTCATAACGCAGAAATAATTTGTTTGCGTTGCAAAATTCTCATTGACTAAAATGATATTGTATTTAGTTGCTACAGTACTGCTAGCTGGTAGTGTTGGCTAGCTAGCAATGGCTGCGGTGTTGACTTTGTTTGAAAAAATGGCATCGCTGTGAACGAATGTAGCTGGCTAAAATGATGTTGTATTTAGTTGCTACAGTACTGTTAGCTGGTAGTGTTAGCTAGCTAGCAATGGCTGCGGTGTTGACTTTGTTTGAAAAACGGCGTTGCTGCAAACGAATGTAGCTGGCTAAAATGATATTGTATTTAGTTGCTACAGTACTGCTAGCTGGTAGTGTTGGCTAGCTAGCAATGGCTGCGGTGTTGACTTTGTTTGAAAAAACGGCGTCACTGCGAACGAATGTAGCTGGCTAGCTAACCTCGATAGTTTCTCTATATTACACCTTTATCTTTGATACAAAGACAACTATGTAGCTAGCTAACATTACGCTAATCAAATCGTTCCATTGTAATGTAATGTGTCATATTACCTGCGGAGCGAAGGACAGCATGACTACTCACTCCAGGAGCCATCCATCCCCTCCACTGCCATACGCATATATGAGCCCAAGCCCCCCCCCCCCCCCCCCCCCCCCCCCCCAAAAAAAAATAACGGAATTAAAATAATGATTGTGCCGTTATACAATACATAGCCTAATAGTCTGCCACATTTTACTCACGGCAGAAAAACATTTTAAAAAACATAGATTTAAGATGTCTTTGGGATATAATTGGTCCAGCCTATACTCCAAAATTAAACACATTCTTGCAATCACCTTTAAGTGTGGACTGTATTATTATGCATACTGGATGGACTGGTTATCTTATGCTAAGCTCCAAACTATCTATCCATGCATTTGGGAGAGAACGTATAGGCCTATGTAATGTTGGTTCATTGATTGTGCAGGGCGGCTTGCAGAGTTAGCCTACAATTATAGTGAATTTGTATTTTATTTCGAATAGCCTAGTATTAGGGCATTTTATATATTTTCTCTCTCCTTCATTCCTTTCTCGAACGCGCAGAGATTGGGGCTGTCAACAGTTTAATTAAATATGTTTATTTGTGAAAACATGCTACTATTGATGTTCTCGAATAGATTTCACTTGGTTTCCCAAATTAAGCACTGGGTAGCTTAAGATATGGCATATAGAAGCATACCAGATGGACATAATGAAAATGATCAGAGGAAGTTCAGGAGTAAAATCAAACAAAATATAATTATTGACTGTGTCCATAAAAAGTATATAGTATGTATAAGCATGAAGTAGAGGCCTAAGCATTGTTGTTCACTAGTTTACTCCAATTAGGGAAGGGATGGTGGGGTTGGAAAGTAATAAAGGGAAATATATATATTTTTAAGGATATGGATGTATATATATATATGTATGTATATGCGTGTATGTATGTATGTGTATGTATGTGTATATATATATATATATATGCGAGAAGAAGAAAAAAACTTATGGGGGATTGGAAGTGATGCAGACAGTTACATTGATGGAAGTTACAATCTATCTGCAATAAAAACCAAACAACAATAATCCACCCAAAGAGGTATTTTTTTTAGAAGTAATAGCTAGTGATTACAGGCTGTTGTGAAATGGTAGAACCTGCTGTAGCCAACTAGCCCGCCATGTGCTTTTTTCTCCTTGACCAAAACATGATGATGTTCTATTTTTAGCTGATATGGGAATGAATACACAAGCAGCATATCAAACTGGGATAATGATTTAGGTTACACCGGAAAGTATAAGAATATCTTTTATAATAAATCTGATTATTTCATATGGAGATGTGGGAAACTAAAAAGACTAGCTTGTTATGTTTTTAGTCAGGCTAAAGCTAGCTTGTCAGGCTGCCACCTAGCTACAAGGGAAGGCGACTCTATCTTACTTTCACAAAATGAAAACACAAAAAAATAAATGTTGCTATCGCACCCTTGTGAATGGGAGTGGGACCGGCGAGGATATTACGTTACCAAAAGGTGTCCGCTACTCCAAAAATCCCACTCCTCCTACGTGCACGCACACATGTAGATCAACGGAGTGAAGCGTGTAGTAACCTTTAGTCAGGAAAAATAGGTTGTTGACAAGTATTTTTCGTCATAGTTATTGTTGACAAAATTAACACTGAATGGCACAGATACAAAGATGAGTCCTCTATTTATGTGGGTGGAATTAAATTACATAATTTTGAATGAGAAAACTCCTCCACTGTATTGTTAACACTGTCTGGAATTTGTTCTATGTCCCGTGTCCAATAACAGGCCGCCTTTGTGTCAACACTGAATATTTCAGTTAAATATATGTAAATTATGAAAGTTACATGTATTCATATTGTTGTCATTGCCTCCCACCACCCCAGGTCTGACTGGTCCTCCAGGTCCCTCTGGGGAAAGAGGGCTCCCAGGGTTTCCCGGCCCCAAGGGGTCCCAAGGCAGGGACGGACCTCCGGGCAGGCAGGGAGAGAACGGGCCCAGAGGACCACCAGGTAACAGGAACCATATAAGCCCTTTATAATCAAATCAAATCAAATTTTATTTGCCACATGCGCCGAATACAACAGGTGTAGACATTACCGTGAAATGCTTACTTACAGCCCTTAACCAACAATGCATTAATTCTTTTATTTAAAAAGTACAATAAAACAACAACAAAAAAGTGTTGAGAAAAAAAGAGCAGAAGTAAAATAAAATAACAGTAGGGAGACTATATACAGGGGGGTACCGGTGCAGAGTCAATGTGTGGGGGCACCGGCTAGTTGAGGTAGTTGAGGTAATATGTACATGTGGGTAGAGTTAAAGTGACTATGCATAAATAATTAACAGAGTAGCAGCAGCGTAAAAAGATCGGGTGGGGGTGGGGGGGCACTGCAAATAGTCCGGGTAGCCATGACTAGCTGTTCAGGAGTCTTATGGCTTGGGGGTAGAAGCTGTTGAGAAGCCTTTTGGACCTAGACTTGGTGCTCCGGTACCGCTTGCTGTGCGGTAGCAGAGAGAACAGTCTATGACTAGGGTGGCTGGAGTCTTTGACAATTTTGAGGGCCTTCCCATGACACCGCCTGGTATAGAGGTCCTGGATGGCAGGAAGCTTGGCCCCAGTGATGTACTGGGCCGTACGCACTACCCTCTGTAATCAGTGTTAATGCCTCAGGAAATGCTATATGTTGATGTTTGACATCATATCAAATCACAATTTATTGCAAGTCCATTTAACAAAGTCACAACACACTTTACAGAAATAAAAAATAATAATGAATACTTAAAAACAAACATGGTTGAACGGTTTGAATTGGTCCAACTACTGAACTCGTCTCTTCCTCTCTTCTTCATTCCAGGCCTCAAAGGTGAACAAGGTATGTTTATGTTTGTTTTATCATCGCATTTGAGTCCTACTGTTGCAATGTGCTAATGCCCTCAACAGTGATGTTTGTTTCACCCCATTACATACATAACATGAGTGTTGCTGAGGGTCGATAACACTCAGGGTGAATGGGGTTTGGTGTGAATGTGTGTAGGAGTCACTGTAGAGGTCAGAGGTCAGCGTTAGGCCAATGAGAACATGAATCATTTGAGGCAGCCAGGTGATGTGCACATACTGGTTCCTGGGTAAGCTTGAGGGCAACATGTGGTGATTGTGAGATAAATTATGCGGCTATTAGCTTAGTGTGTGTGTGTGCATGTGTGTGTATGTGTGTGTTGTCCCTGTGAACCTAGAGTTTTTTACCCCTATTTGTTTTGTGATGTAACATTCCCATCACAAAGGCAGTATAGCTGCGTCTGATCTACAGTAGATTAGCCTATTACAGGAAAACATTCCAAGGGCCGTAACGGTCTTTAATAAACATCTTTCTCGCTATGTTCCCTACACATTGTTTACTTTGCCATTTTGTACTGTAATGAACCGTGAAAATAGATTTCCTCATGTTAGAACAATGAAATATCATATATGGTTTAGATAATAATCATGCTCTCCCTCCACTCCTGTTGGGTTATTTTCTGAGACCTTGATGTGATTTTGCCCACAGGTATGCCAGGTGCTGATGCCAACGTGCCCAAGCTCTCCTTCTCTGCAGCTCTCACCTACCCCATGCTCAACGCTGGCACCATCGTCTTCGACAAGATCTTTGTCAACGAGGGAGAGTTCTATGACCCACGGACAGGTACTGAATAGAAAGGCGTTGTTGTTTTTTGGGTTGAAGAAGTATACACAAACATGATCAGTGCATACTACTGATACCAATGTATACTGTTAGTTCAATCTACATGTGAAGCAGTGGAGGCTCCTCAGAGGAGGAAGGTTAAACATTAAAATAGTGAAACACAACGAGTGGCGCAGTGGTCTGCATCGCAGTGCTAGCTGTGCCATTAGAGATCCTGGTTCGAATCCAGGCTCTGTTGTAGCCGGCCGCGACCGGGAGACCCATGGGGCGGCGCACAATTGGCCCAGCGTCGTCCAGGGTAGGGGAGGGAATGGCCGGCAGGGATGTTGGTAGAGCATGGCGTTTTCAACGCCAGGGTTGTGGGTTCGATTCCCACGGGGGGCCAGTATGAAAAAATTTGATATTGTATGCACTCACTAACTGTAAGTTGCTCTGGATAAGAGCGTCTGCTAAATGACTAAAATGTAAAAAAGTTATCCTTTTTAGATAAAACTATACTAAATATATTCACGTCACCAAATAACTGATTTAAACTCACTGTTTTGCAATGAAGGTCTACAGTAGCCTCAACAGCACCCTCTAGGCTAGCACCATAGTGTAGACGGAGGACAGCTATTTTCTGTCCTCTGGGTACATTGACTTCAATACAAAACCTAGGAGGCTCATGGTTCTCACCCCCTTCCATAGACTTACACAGTAATTATGGTGACTTCCGGAGGACTTCCTCCAACATTTCAGAGCTTTTGCAGCATGAACTGACATGTTGTCCATCCAATTAAAGGATCAGAGAATGAGTCTAGTACTGAAAGCATAAGCTATAGCTAGCTAGCATTGCAGTGCATAAGGTGTTTTGAGTAGTTGACTCAAAGAGAAAGACAATAGTTGAACAATTTTGAACAAATGAATTTCTTCAAAAGTTAAGGAAAAGCATTAGAGAGAGAGAGAGAAATCTTTGTATTTTTTTCTTCTTCTTGGCTTACCTTTCGCTTACTTAGCTAATGCAGCTAATTAAGCCTACTCAACAACCTGACTCAAACAGAGAGGAATACTATTTATGTTAGCCAGCTGGCTAAGGCTATCCAATACTGCAACTCTTCGAAGTCAAGGTAAGCTTTCGGTTTTATTAATTTATTGCCTCCGGGGACCGCCGGTGTAGCTGCTAAACTGATTGCTGTACACTGTACTGCATGAATGTACACATGGATTGGATTGTGCATTTACTAACGTGTTAGTTCTAGTTTGTTGAGTATGACGTTAATATAGCGTGGAACCCCGTATTATCGGCATATTCAACAGCATTTAAGAAATATATTACCTTCAACAGTGCTATCTTGTGATCAAGCCATCAATGTTATGTGATTATTGGTGTCGTAAAAATGTTAGCTAACGGGTTAGCAATTAGCATGTTTGACATTTCAGTGGAAATACTACTATTATCAGCTTTTTGATAAGCAGTTTAGCAAATAAATACATCCCGTATTATCGGCATACGGTCCCCAGTTATTGGCCACCTTACTATTTTGTTCAATTACAAGATATATCCGTTTAATTTTGTTCAAAAAAGAGACACCAACCACGTAGTGTTTACTAGATAGTTGACTAGTTGGCTAGCCTTCCGGTAAAAAATAATGACTTGCCTGTCAACTTTTCATTGCGTAGCCTGGTGCGCCCTCCTGTGGACTCTTAAAAAATGGTTCTTCACCAACATATTCAGTGTTGTAACCAAATAATGTCTCATAATTTCTTTTACAGATTAATCTTATGTTTTGAGAAATTAGATAACAGTTGAATACTAAAATATGAGTATTAATAATATACATCAAATAACATTTTAATTTCAGTTATGTGCATTGACATAAACAATGAAAACACTGTTGGAGTTTGTGTTGCAGAGGTGCACTTGGAAAGTAAAGGAAGAAATACACAAGATGGGTTGAATAAATATATATATTATATTTTAGTCATTAATTTTTTTGTACAAATAAATAATTTCATATGAACACAAACAAAACAAACAATTAAATCTCGACCTCCATCCCTATATTGTCATAAAAATCACAATCAAAATCCAGCTCCACCGCTACCTCTGTATCCCACTTTACACACCTGCAGTGGAACCAGTGCTGGCAGAAGTCACAGCACACCCATGGCACCTCGGATCTACACTCCTGAGGGGAGCTTGCAGGCGGATCATGCTCCCCGCAGCGAAAACAGCAGGTGGTGTCTTCTTTTATAAAAAAATAAAATAAGAATAAAAATTGATTAATATGGTTTTGCAAAATGTAGAAGTTCTTCAACAACAATAGTAATTGATACAACTGAGAGAGAGAGAAAAAACAAATTATGAAGTACCTGAGAGTGGTGCCATGGGTGACATGACAGACGTGACCGGTGGAGCTTTTCTCTTCCTTTTCTGTGCTGCAGTTTGATAAAAAGTAGTGTTATACAGAGCATGTTGCATGAAAACCCTTTTCAACTTTTTTACATCAATACCTCTGGAGGAAGCTGCAGAGGTTTTGGAGCAGGTGGAGATGACTTGAGGGCTGGTGCTATGGACTGTAGATATGTAAAGAGAGATTTCTTTTAGTTTACATTGCTGTTTTATAAAACAGATAACAAACAGTGATTTTTTCGTAATTTAACATGTGTTTACCTGTGGAGGTGGCGGTATTCAAATTGCAGGAGGCAGGGACACCAGACGAGGCTGCTATGGTGGTGTGACCAGGGGAGACGGAGGAGGCAGTTGGTCCAGAGGAGGCCGTGTTGGTGGTGACAGACAGGGGGGGTGGTGTGCATCGTGGTGGTGGTGGACAAAACCGCCGACGATGGCTTGGAGGAGCTGGTGTTTGTAATAGTGGGGTTGAGGGGCCGACGATGGTGTGGCCAGGAGAGTAGGCACGTGGCCTTCTTCTGCAGCTGGGGACTCCGGCGGCTCCTACAGGTGTTGCACACTGGGAGGCACTGGCAGTGGTGATGCAGCTGTCAGGAGTGGTTCCAGCAGGGAGTCCAGCAGAGGCAATGGCATCAATGGTCTCATCCATGGCAGCCCTCTCCTGTGCCCTCTGTGTTCTGAGGGCTGCCCGACGCTCTTTCTCCTCTGCCTCGGCCCTCTCCTTCTCACCCCTCTCCTGCCACTGGCGCGTGTATTCCTCCCCGGTGAGGCATGTGGCGACCACAGGGAGTCTTCTGTATCGGTCCAGCCGATACTTCAGTACAGTAAGGATGTGCCCCAGGTCCTTTGCCAACTGGAGCAGGGGCTGGGACTGGAGCAGGGGCTGAGGGTCCTCCTGTGGTCCAGGAGAGGCGGTGGTGGGACCCGGTAGGATCAAAAGGGAAGATGCCACACTTCTTAAACCCTTCCACCACATAGCGCATGTCCTTGCATCGCTAGTATGGGTAGCGGAATACTCTGGCAAATTCTGATTTGTTTACCATGTAGGAGTGGCCAAAATGGCTAAGGTCTCCAGCTACCTTGGAAGGGGAACCCATGGCTGGCGCAGTAGATACAGTACTGCACTAGATAATTTTCATCCTCTGGTGCAAGCAATGTGGGTGGTCCACTGCGACAACCATGGGTCACCCAGCTGCTCAGCCTGTCCGCCAGGGTCTGCCGAGGTACACCATGCACCTTGGTAGATAAGAAAAGAAAACTGTTACTAGCTGATAAAATTCACATACACATGGTAATCTCCTAAAAACAAAAGATGCCCAACCTTGGCAGCCTGGCGGATAGCCATCCCTGCCCCGCAGTCCTCCATGGCATGGAACATGTCCACCTCACTCCACTGCTTCCTCTTGACTTTCTCCATGCTGTGGTGGTAAATACATTTAGCTAAATAACTTGGCATACTATACACATTTTAGAAAGATAACTCAATCTGAATATGTATAAACATTTACATTTCAAAGCTAAGGCATTGAAAGGTGATGAAAGTTTTCACAATAACTGAAAGTATACCCACGTTTTTTGTTTGATGTTATCTGTAATGAAAATTAGTGTCCCAATTAGTTTAATATTGATGCGTACATTGTAACATTTGACTAAATACTGCCTCTATGTAGCTGTTGTAAGATGAAACATAGCCAACAGTGATAGGTGTCAAAAGGTTAATGGTTCAAAGTTCCAAATACATTTTTGCAGATTGAGCAAAACGCCTCCGTCAGAGGACTTCAATTTTGATACGGTAAAGCTTGACAACATTCAGCTGTTTTCATGATATGTATTATCTAACGCTTACAATTTATTTCTTTTTTGCTGTCTTAGCAGTTCTATCAACATTTAGCAACTAAGCTAGCAACATTAGAAAATCCGTTAGCTATATTTCAGAGGTAAGAAGTTGGATATTAAATGATGCGTGGTCTGTCGCGCAGTCGAATTTTACCATATGCAGCGTGTCCCACAAAATGTGTACAACTTTTTTGAAAACTTTCAAAACCTAACTTAATTTACATAAATTGCACTGAAAATCGGTGGTCAGCTAGCTAGAAGGGTGTCTTTAGTGGCAAAACATACCGTTATTTTCCAGTCCATTTAAATGTTGAGCTCGAGGTGATTTAGTCCTCCAACCGCTAGAGAGTGTCCGAAGTTAGTGGGTGTCCGATGTTGGGGGAAAATTAGCTAGTGACAACGATGTGGGCTGTGTAGCGGTTATGGTATGAAGGTTGGCTTGGAGAGGTTTTTGCACTTGGTCACAGACAGCTGTTGTGTTGTGCACTGAAGTCCACAAGCAAAAGGAAAAGGTGAGAGGAGGAGAGCGGGTAGATGCGAGAAGGAATTATACAACAAGCAAAGTGATTATGCTGTATGTGCGGGTGATCAGGGGTGTATTCACTCCACCAATTCTGTTGCAAAATGTTTCTTGAACGGAAGCAAACTGAATGAAATGGGGAGGGACCTACCTGAATTTGTTCAATAGAAACTCTTGATTTAGTTGCAAAACGTTCCCGTTTTGCAACTGTTGGGACTAATGATTACACCCCAGATCAGCTAGATGCAGGCAAGAGTGTGTAAGGCAGTATTGAATGTGCCACTGTCTGTCACCTTGATTACTCAAATTTGTCTCTCGACCTGTGCGCCTACGTTATGAACGTTCATTTGTAGACTAGGTTGTAGCAACCTCATGATGAGTATAGGGCAAATTCGAGTATCATGTGGTAGCCTAAACCTATCGATGTTACATTGAGCTGGGTGAATGAAATATGAATGACAGTCGTCCAATATGCTGTAATAGAAATAAGAAAAATGGTCCTCCCTAATCTTAAACGGCACTGACTGTAAACATTAACCTCATAGTTACAATGTACAGTAAGTAGCTAGTTAGTTACATCATTGTTTTAGTTCATGTAGAATGAGCTAACTGTCAAACCAAGTCATAACCCTGAACAGGCAACTGTTATTGCTTACAATATCAGTGGATTATGCTAAACTAACTCTAACCTTTCCCTCTCTGTGTTTCCCAGGCGTTTTCACAGCGCCCATTGATGGGCGCTACTTCTTCAGCGCCATCCTGACGGGCCACAGGAACGAGAAGATCGAGGCGGTGCTGTCCAAGTCCAACTACGGTATGGCCCGCGTAGACTCCGGGGGATACCAGCCAGAGGGCCTGGAGAACAAGCCGGTGGCCGAGGCCAAGATCACCCCCGGCTCCCTGGCCGTGTTCAACATCATCCTGCCCCTCCAGGCTGGAGACACAGTCTGCATTGACCTGGTCATGGGCAAGCTGGCCCACTCTGTAGAGCCTCTCACCATTTTCAATGGAATGCTGCTGTACGAACAGATGTGACAGCATCCCCTAGGCTCTCAAGCTGGAACATGAGCGAGGGAGAGGAAGGGAGGGAGGAAAGAGGAAAGTGAGAAAGAAGAGAGGGGTAGGGGTTGGTCCCCTCCGGAGCCGTTTAGACTCACGGTTTTATTTGACAACCGCTTTTGAAAGCAAAACGACGGTTCCAGAGAATGAGGTTAGAATGACTTTATATCGACTTGTGAAACATGGGAATGAAAGAGAACTAGAAGACGACGACGACAGAAAAGTTTTGTGTTTCACCCTCCGCGTGTCATTCCTGGCCCTCTGATGTTGTGAGACCTGATGAACTGCTTGAACAAACATAGGATATACTATAGACTGAGCAGCAGCAGACAGAGATGTTTAGCTTACCCAGCATTTGGAGAAGTGTTTTCACACCGAATTTGTACTACTGCAGGATTTTTATATGGTTATTGGAGTCTCCGTCTCCTTATTACTCACTCCAGGCATGGGGTTCGGAGTACAGTAGTCCTTCGTGCACTAATACCGACCATAAGGTCTCCTTGACATCCCACGTACCCCTTTGCTGCAAAGTGTTTCCCTGCCATAGAGCCAGACCCATAGTCAAGGTCTGAGGTTAACCTGAAGTACAGAATGTGTAGTCTAGGGGAAAGAACAAGGAATGAGAAATTCATTGCTTGATTTTCTCTAGCTGTTTTCTATTGAGATGAATTCACACATTTTGTGAATGTTTTTATATTACCGTGCACTTTTCTATCTCCTTGTATGTGTGTTCTGGTCTTTATACCCTGTAATGCCTTTGGCCCAGTGATCCAAAGTTTGTCTGTGTGGATATTATTTTAAAGCTTCAGTACCTTATACTGATGGTTCCCAAAACATTTTCTGTGCCGTCCGTGACCTACCTAAAGCCTTCAGAAATGTCTGTGATGCTCCAGGTGAATGAAAGAATGTTCCTAGCTCAAAGTCCAGCCTTAAGCCACAACCAAGTAGGAATTTACCTCAACCAGAGGGAAACGCTGCCTTATACTACAGTACTGTAGGACCAGATGGGCCATAGCCCCTTTATTACATCAGTAGGGTTGCAAAAATCTGCAACATTTCCCCAAATTCCCAGGTTTTCCAGAAATCCTAGTTGGAAGATATCGGATGTCCTTCTTGTTCCCTCTTGATTCCAGGAATCTTCTAACCAGGATTTCTAGAAACGTTTTTTTGCAACAAATGAGATGACCCAACACATTATGACACAAGTGTGACAAAATGAAAGTCTGAAAGCCTTGGGGAAAACTATCTGGCTTCGCAGAGATAAAACGAGTCGGGAGGGAGTTTTTTCCTACCCCTTCCCCCTTGAACCCCACTCTCTATTCCCCCCTCAGGCACACGATGTGTTGAATAGCTGCCAAGGGCAACAAGAAATGAGCGTTCCAATCCAATGGCCCAGTGATACATACAGAGCAGCAGCTACAGGCCCTCCTATGGCCAATGTGATACACAGCAGACCAGTGTTTCCCAACCCGTCCTAGGTTCCCCCCAACTATTCCACGTATGATCTATTCCAACACTAGCACATCTGATACATACCAGATGCGATGTAGCAGGCAACGATATCAGAACAGCATCAGGACGTTATTAGCCACTGCATTAGGGTGGTAGGCTATTGGAGCATGTGTTTATGTGTTCTTTGCTTGGAAATTCAGCTTACAGATCATCAAATCAGACCTGGATTCAAATAATGATTATTTGTTATTTAAATACTTATTTTCTGTGTATTTTAATATTTTCTAATAACATGGCCTGAATCAACTACTTCTATTGGAAGTATTTGAAAGTATTTTCAAATAATTTCCTAAAAAGCCTACTATTTGAAATAACTTTCAAATACTATTTTCAAATACCTGGGTTAAATGCATGGGAGTATATTTGAGTCACTGGCCATGTCCGAATACCCATACTTGCGTCCTAAATTGTAGGCCATTTGAGTATGCGGAAAAATTCAGTTTAATAGTATGCAACATTTCGAAAATCAAGTATGGTTTAAATGCCAGGATGTTATACTCATTTCTGCTCTTCATCTAGTAGAATTCGATGCACACTTTTCCACAATACATTGGTAGAGGTGGGCTGCGAGTGATAGGCCCTAGTTCTCTTCAGTAGCCAGACAACAAAACTAGACTACTTAATTGGGCAGATGCCGAATAGCGAAGCTTCTGCGGTGGTGTTCAAATGTAGTGTAAGTAGTTTTTGTTCTCCTTCAAATTAATTATCACGAGTATTGCTACATCTTTTTTTTTTTACCCAAGGTATATTTCTGTTTTCGTATTGAAAAGTGTTTCTTGTTCTTTTGGCCTTCGTCAGAGCTTTTAAACTAAATACTAAACCATCTTTTGATTTTTTAATGTGTCGGCACCGGGGACTCGGGATGTTGCTGCGTTATTGATGTCATGTTAATCTGGCCTTTTGATTTGAACTTATGGATTGTTTTAGTTTTGTAGGCTAGGTTACCTATTTAATTATTTAATTTATGGGTCAAGCCTTAGCAGTCATTCTGATCTCGTTCCCAATGATCAGTCCTTTAGTTTATTATGTTGCTGTCCAGCGGTTCTGAAATGTGCGATGCACCCAACCGTCCACGTTTTTCTGTGCAATAGCCTTTTGATTTGAACATCTGAAAAGTTTTGGTGTGTGTACTAGGCTATTTGATTTAATTTATATATGTTACAGCACTTTGGTTTCAGTACTAAATATGTTGATATGGAACCAAATTATCTGTTTCTGTCTTCAGTCCTTTTTAAATAGGATAGAGGGGCTATATGGGCTGCGGTATAGGTCGAATGTGATAGTCTGCCTATAACCAGCCTGAGTAAGCCTGTAACTCCATTCCTATTTTATTCAGAGTTTAGAGAAATTAATCAATTTGGAAATGCGCTATTATCAGGCTTGTTAATGCGATAAGTCTATTGAAAAAATCCACCCTCCAGCTTCTCAGCCAGTTAGGAGCCGCTACTGCGTTGCGGCCGTGGCATACTTTTTACTAAACGGTATGTGCTAAATAGTATGCAGTTTAAGTATGTAGTACGCTAGGATGGGTATTCAGACACAGCCAGTGTATTTGAGAATGTTCAAATATGTGCCAATACTTTCCAAGTGTATTTGGAAATACATTCCAATATTCAACTACTTGTCTTTTCAAATAAAACATATCTGAACACTTACTTCGAAATGTATGTGAAAGTAATTGAGACATTTGAAATAGTATTTGAACCTAGAACTGGATCAAATGGATACCAACATGTTTGGCAGAGATGTACACCATTACAATCAAATACATGGGGTTTTATAAAAAAATATATATCACTATTGGAAGATGCTGTATTTAGTTGAGAAGCTGCTATCTTGCTCCCCTGTGCCTTTGAGTATTTCTCCACTGGCTCCTATCTGACCTCTGTGCCTGTTATTGCTAAAGGAATCGGTTTACTCAATCTATGAAGTAAGTCATCAACAACTGGTCATTCCACATGCCAACGAAAGCAATGCTATGTATTAAAGGTCTTCTTTTTTTACAACTCCTCCCTACAGTCCAACCTGTTACCTTGAATGCGTGATTTGGCGACACATGTCGTTCAAATAACGATATTACATTTTACACAGCCATGCCCTCTCTGTAGGAGTTTTGGATTCATTCGCTGCTCAGAGGGCTAGGACTCTAATCTATCAGGAAAGGAGATGGCGATGATGTCATGTTTTGTGATGTCCTCAGTCTAGTTTGAGCAGACCTCTCGGTTCATTGCTCTTGTGTGATTGCTTAAATGAATATTTCTTAATAGGCAGTGATCCAAATGCTGTGATTTATTAAGTACAGTATATCGTACGGATTCAAGTATTTCCATATCTGGAAGAATTGTCCATTTGACTTACTAGGCCATTTGGAACTTGAGTCAAAGAATGTACAAATGGTTTGATAAATATTTATTCCTGCATATTAATAAACATGGCATTTTGCTTCTCTCTTGGCCCGTGCTGTAAAGGCTGAGAAAGAAAAAGTGTCGAGCCTTGCCATTTTCCAGTCTGCAAGCCAAAAGGAGAGAGTCATTGGAGATCTCCCTATGAATTCATGGAAAGAATAACATCTCACAGCTGTCCATCAACAGACACAGATGTCTAATTTATGAGGAATATAGTACCCTTTTGCCATTGGTTTCACCTGCGTCGAGCTGGGATGGGACTTCGTCAAGTCCTGGACATCTAGACAAAGAGATGGAAGGAGGAACACCTACTGCCTTTCCTCTCACCTACTCCAGGGAACTTTTCCCATGTTTTCCCCCCTTTTTCTGTCTTCCTCTTCATTAGATTTCCCATGTCCTTTATCTGTGTAATGAGCCCAGGTTCTGACCTCCAAAGCCTGCCGTTCCGACGCCTGATTGTCTCCTCTGGTTGGAATGAGAGAACCTGGAAGGGCCTGAGCTGCTGGTCTGGAAAAGACCTGAGTGGTTTTTCTATTTGACAAGTGAGAAAACACAGGATCTGGTGGCCGACGGCAGTGTGATACTCTTGTAAGTGATGCCCTTTGTGATGAATCCCTTTAGTTCTCCTAGCAGGCTTTATCCGTACGGGATACTGACTGGCTGGCTGCCAGAGGGATATCAAAGAACACATTTTTCACATACTGTAGGTTCCTAAAGGACATTTTAAGGGGCACAGGGCAGAGGTTGTTGGGTTGGTACCTGCATCTGCTTGCAAATATTTTATGATGTGTATGAAGTGTGACCCTGTTTTGAGCTGGGGGAGTGGGGGGGGGGAATCTGTACACACCAGCTGTGTGTGGATGGGACGGGATACTGACAGATATCCTGTTTATCTTTCATCTTTATACACACACACGCGCACTTCTTAACACTGTCACATCAACACATCTGTTGAAGTCACGGAAGCACATCAGTAAACTAGGTGAAGAGATGGTGTACAGCAGCTTAAGGAGATCACATGCACACAACAGTCAGTCAAATATACTGTACATTCTTCAGATAAGGCTACGACTCCAGTGGGTTATTTGCATAGCATACTGGGTCATTTTCTCAGGACATGTTATCCATATTCACTACACAGCTCAATAGATACTATGTGAAGGAGAATGTGTGGAATGAGAGGCGGTGTCGTGACGTGACTTTCATTATTGAGATGACTATTATTTATTGAATGATTACCTACTATGTTTAATTGTTACTAGATTAAATTAATCATGTAACAATTAACTCATTAGGAATTTGGGGCACCATGGGAAAAGTTGTTTAACGAGTTACCGTTTCCCAAATTAACTCAAGTTATCTAGATATCTCTTATCGTTTAACAGTCATTTATTAATCATTTACCTCATATCAGTCTCATTCTGAAAGTCGTAGGCTCTTTAAGTCTGCGCAAACCCGGGTCTTACTGATCATTCCGTACCACACAAATTGATTTAATTATTTATTTATTAACTAATTAAAAATGATAACACAAGATACAAACACATACACGGTATAGGTAGGGATTAGAAACTTAATACAATGAAAACGGGTACCTAGCGTACTAACACAATATGACACTTGTTACAAAAGATGGTGATTTAAAGAGAGAGAGAGAGAGCGAGAGAAAACACTTGGATACACACAGACCTATACTCATAGTAATTCTAATACTTTTTCAAGAACTGCCGCCCGTTTGGTAAGAATGAATGCATGTATTTACGTCTTTGTCGTCTTTGTTGGACCCAGGCCTTCGTGGGAAGGGTCGATTGGGCCTTCTCTTTTCGGATGGCCTTTTAGATGTAAGGTTCAGATGGAAGGCTCAGATTGTCCACAAGAGGTCACAATGTCCTTCTTCTTAGTCGTCTGTTTACTTTCACTCGTTCTGGAAGTGGTCTTCTGAGGATGGCTAATCAGCCATGTCGATGATCCCCTGTGGGGTGATGAGAGCAGTGTAGTAGACGATGGTTTGAAGAGAGTAACAGGATGGTCCCACTTAAATTCACCTTCTTAGATACAGTACTTAGAACAGCTACTCAGCCGTAACATTGATTGTTAGTGGAGGCAACTTTGTTGTCTTCACCTCGTGTTGATTTTCAGGGTTGTGACCAATATGGACA